GAAAGTCTGCTGCTCTCAGCTGCGGCTGCAGCGCCGACGCGCAGCAGCCCAGCAGCAGCAGCAGCAGCAGCAGCAGCAGCAGCAAGAGGCGTCTGGTGCTCATTTTTGCTTTTTTTCATTTTTTTCTCCAATTTAAAAAGTAATTAAAATAAATAAACATTTTTGTCAGTGGAATCTTTCAGACTTCCTTTTTTCCGCGTAGACAGCCCTGCAGCCGCCGAAGTAGCGTTGCTGCTGCCGCAGCAGCAGCAGCAGCAGCAGCAGCACAAATGCAGTTCTGCTGCTTCCTGGGGGCCCCAGGATTCTTTCTGAAGGCAGGCTGCTATCTACTCAGCAGCTGCAGCACACCGCTAGCTAGCCAGCTAGCCACAGATCGAGGCCCGCAAAGCTAGCTAGCTAGCTAGCTAGCTGCTGCTGCTGCTGCTGCTGCTCCTGGCAAGCTTGCAGCTGCAGCTGGGGAGCCAGCTACAGCTGTGGAGGGGCGTCAAGACGTTGGCCCGAGGGTTTAGGGTTTAGGGTCTAGGGTTTAGGGTTTAGGGTTTAGGGTTTAGGGTTTGGGAGTTGGGCAAATCAACAATGGGAAACTGCAAAACTAAACCCAAACTCCACTTGGGGGCCCCCCAGGGGCCCCCCACTTCATTTCCTCAAATTTTATTTTTGGGACTTGACGGCGCCGGCAAAACCACTCTCATGTACAGAACTTTAATTCCAGGTAACAACTCACCAGCTAGCTGGCTAGCTAGCCAGCTAGCTAGCTAGCTAGCTAGCTAGCTGGTGGCTAGCTGGCTGGCTGGCTAGCTGGATGGGTGGCTAGCTGGCTAGCTGGCTAGCTGGCTGGCTAGCTAGCTGACTGGCTAGCTGGCTGGATGTGGCCGGCTAGCTAGCTAGCTAGCTCCATAGCTGCTAGCTGTCTGCAGAGCTAGCTAGCTAGATGGGTAGCCACCTAGCCAGCTAGCTAGCTGGCTAGCTAGCTGGCTAGCTAGCTAGCTAGCCGGTTAGCTAGCCAGCCAACTAGCTTGCTAGCTAGCTTGCTAGCCAGTTGTTTGGCTAGCTAGCCACACAGTTAGGCAGCTAGCCAGCTAGCTAGCTGGACAGCCACCCAGGCAGCTAGCAAGCTACAGGGCTAGTCAACTGGCTAGCTAGCTAGCTAGCTGGATTTCATGCTAGCTAGCTAGCTAGTTAGCAAGGTAGCTAGCGTAGCTAGCTAGCTAGCTAGCTAGCTACAAATCAGGTAGAGCAAAGCGGCGAATTGGAGCATTTAGATTTTCAAAAGCTTTAGGGTTCTTTTCAACTAGAAATAATTTATTCATTCCCTTCTTTGCCAACTTGCTGCTGCTGCTGCTACCGCTGCTGCT